GAGACTGTGAAAGTGCTGTGCCTAACCCAGTCTTTGTCCATCACAGATTCATAGTCATGGCGATAAACTTCTAATCTCCTTCCCACTGGTGGTTCTTTTTTTTTTATTGAAAAAAAAAATTCCGTCTCCTCCCAGCCTCCCATTTCCCTCCCCCTCCTCCACTCCTCCAGTTTGCTAGCCAGCTTCAATATAGACTTGGTAATCCCAGTATTGGGCACCTGTCTGGTATCACTAGTTGTTACTGGTCTAGGAACTTCAGGGTAAAAAAAAAAAATAGAGCCCTGATGGTGTCTGTGTCTCCTAGGAGAGGTACTTCTTATTCATCACAACACTAAGAATCTTACAGGCTGTCACCACACTGTCAATGCCCAGGTCTTGAACCTGCTCCTTGTCCCTCTACTGAGGGATCATGTTGTCAGCCTTCGGGTGTTCATTGCAATCATTCTATTCTTGTTTCTAAGTGTTCTCAGTGAACACAGGTGGAACACCTTATTTATCAATGCGGCTGATACAGATTTGATCAGAAAATTTGACACACATGATATGGAATCATTGATGTACTTCTGTTCTGTCCAGACCTGTGAGAGCTGTGCATACACTAACCTTCTATCTCCCACTGCTGCAAAGTGAATGTACGAGCATAGATGCTGCTTTGGGATTCCTAGAGTAGCAAAGGCATTATGTCCCACTGTTCAGAAGACATGTCTCTGTGCGATCTCTCCAGGAATAGTCCAGTTCCACAGAGGTCACACTCTCCCCATTCCCGTTACTCTCTCCTCTTTAAAAGATGGGGCTCCCATTACCCTAAATACAGTTTCCGTTTGCTCTAACACACTTCAAAGATTTGGATGATGAATTCCAAAGCTTTCATTAAAGGAAACTTAACACATAAAAGTGATCTTTCTTTATAGGTTTGAAGGTTCATTTAAAGAAGAGGTTTCCATTTTTTAACCAGGCTTCAAATACTCCCTTCATGTAGCAGTTATATGAAGACGCAAGACATTTTCAAAAGTCCTCTATACCCTCTTGTTCAGGTCACAGTAATTAGGAGGTGACACAGGTGTGCATCTTCTGTTACAGATCAGGTTGTGAGTGCATTTCCCTCCCATGAACCCACATAACTTCACTGTGAACAGTTATTGTGCTCGTCTTAAACTTTAGACTCCATCCATACTGTTTTATGTTGATATAAGACTTTTCTAATATATTTTTCTGAATGGATGTCATGAATAACAAAAGCTATCATGAATTCTGTCAATCAATACTGTTATTAGTAATAGACGGTCACTGCATATGTTGTTGGGATATAGGTTGATATGTCAATATGTGTACACATATTCTCAGTAAATGTTTATATTTCTGTGACTTTGTCATTTCTGTCTTCTCAAGCTTTGAGCTCCTGCCTTCATGTTATTTGCAAACACATAAGGGATGACTGCGGCATGTAGTCACTCCATGATGCAGAGTCATAGAACCAATGTTTCTGTCTAAATGTGCTTGGTTCCCATTGTCCTGTCTCCCTTAGCACTTCCTCACCTTTACCATTTATCACATCTGTCAATCATTATTCTGCTAAGACAGAGTTTTCTGGTTTCCACTTGTGAGAGATAAAGGTGGTATCTGTCTTTCTGTGTCTGGTTTATTTTTCTTGACAATGTTCTCCTTTCCCATCCACTTATTTCTAAAAGGCATCATGCTTGTATGGTTGGATAACATTCCTCTGTGCATATATATTACCTCTTCTTCATCCCTCTTATCTGATGAATACATAGGCCAATGATCTATATTGCCACAGTTCCTTGACCTTGTCAGCAGTTCCAAGTGGGCCATAAATTCAGCCAGAAGGTGGTTAGTTACCCATAACATTTGTGCCACTCTTACACCAGTGAGCATATCTTGTCAAGCATGTTGTTATTGTAGCCCATAGGGTCCAGAGCTGGGTGAGACTGAGGATGATGTTTTTCTTCTCAAGTAACGTGCATAGAATCTTCAATTACTATGGAAGCTAGCATAGGGGTGATGCTTAAAGACCAGTACCCACTTGATTTCTCCATGTTTATGATTCAAGTTATAATGGTATCTCCAGAAGTAGGATTTTACTATCACATTCTGGAAGATAACCAGGAATAATAGAAATACCTTGTAATGTCTGAGAGTCAATGGGACCTAGTGATCAGCATCTCTTAGAGTTAACTCATTCCTGCTACAGGACTTTCATTTGGCAGCATGTGGTGTCTAATTGAGATATTGTCCCCCACTACTTAAAATTTTTATGCCTGTATATACATATATTTTAGGAAGCTTCTACTGCAACAGGTTTCATTCTGTAATATGTTTTTAAAGGTTTTGGTGTTACATATGCTCTGCACAATCCCTCTTCTGCTCTTTATCCCATATTTCACCTTACTTTATCATTTTATTGATCTCTTTTTCATACTTAAAACTTTGTGTCATTTCTTCTTCTACCTCCCCATGGTACCTTACTAGATGCTATCCTCTATGAGTATTCCAAAGGAAGCACACATAGCTGAAGCTTAAAAGATAAAAGGAGAGAGAGAGAGAGAGAGAGAGAGAGAGAGAGAGAGAGAGAATATAGGACATTTGTCTTTCTAGGTCTGAGTTACTTCACTCAGGGTGATTGCTTCCAGGTCCACCTATTTTCCTGCAAATGCCATAATTTCACTTTTCTAACAGCTGAGCAATGTTAGTTACATTTGTCAATTCCATAGGTTCATCATTTATTATTCCTATAGTGGACATTTATACTGTTTCCATGTCCTAGCTATTGTGAATAGAGCTGCAAAAATCTTTCAGGTTTCTGCCTGAAGCTTGTACTATATATAGACCCTCCTTACTGATTTCCATAGTAATCATCCCAGTTTTCACTCCCACTGGCAGTAAATAAGTATTCCTCTTTCCCTAGCCAGGTGGTGGTGGCACATGCCTTGAATCCTAGCAGATCTCTGTGAGTTTGAGGCCAGCCTGGTCTATAAGAGCTGGTTCCAGACCAGGCTTCAAAGCTTCAGCGAAACCCTGTCTCGAAAAAAAAAAAAAAGTATTCCTCTTTCCCATGTCTTTCCCAGCATTGTCTATCAGTTTTTTCTTAGTCATTCATATTGGAGTAAAAGTTCATCTAAAAGGGGTTTTAATTTGCCCTCTCTGATGACTAAGTAAATTGAACATTTAAAAAATTATTTTTCAACTATTTGTGTTTCTGTTGAAAATTCTCTATTTAGTTTCATTCCCCAGCTTGAGTTAGGTTGTTTTCTTATTGCTTAACAGTTTTAATTATTTTTATGTTCTAGCGATAACCCTCTGTCAGATGATAGAGTATTTGTTTTTGTTGTTGTTGTTGTTATTTTCTTGGGTTTTTTTGTTTTTTGTTGTTTTTTTTTTTTTTACAATTTTGTAGGTTGCCTCTTCAAATAGCGGTATTCTTTGTTATACAGAAACATTACAGTTACAAATGGGCCTGTTTGTCAATGATTGGTCTCAAATTCAATACTCCCATGGTCCTGTTCAGAAAGTCCTTTCCTGTAGTGATGAATTCAAACATATTCCCTATTTTCTTCTTTTGTCAACTTTCAGTTTTAAGGTTGTTGGGTCTTATGCTGAGGTCTTGATCCACTTGAAGTCTAATTTTGTAAAGATGGTGGATAAGGATCTATTATAATTTTTCTATGTGTAATTGTCCAGTTTGACCAACACCATTAGTTGAAGATGACAACATTTATCTATTGTGGGGTTGTTGTTTTGTTTTTTTTTTTTGCTTCATTTGTAAAAAATCATGTGGCCATAGGTCTATGGACACATTTCTGGGTCCACAAATCACCCAACTTATTACATTTTTCTGCCACTGCCTTTTAGGAATGTCATTTAGGAATCTATTAGTTGTTTTCCATGTAATTAGAATTTTATAGCTGTACTGTTGGTTATAGGAGAAGTCTATCAGACAGTAAATATTTTTTATTTTGTTTTCTAATTTATTTTTTTAAGCTATCTTTTCTTGTTTTACATGCTAAATTCAGTTCCCACTCCCTCTGCTCCTCCCACTTTGTCCACCTTTTCCCCATCCCACCCCCATCCACTCCTTAGAGAGCGTAAGGCTTCTGACTGGGCAGACTGTGCAGCCACTAACTATGAGACCAGGATTTATCTCTATTGCTTGTTCTGACTTTTTGGAAACCATTCTCTTTGGAAGGATGCCTTGGTCAGATAGTAAATATTTTTATGGGTTTCAATTATTTTTAAATCTTTCCCTCTACATCAGCCTAGGGCCAAGTTAATGAACACTCCCTGGTGCTAGGGTAATATCACCCCCAGATTATCAGAACTATCAGGAGAGTAATACAAGTTCAGGTGTACTTGAATTAGTCAGACAGAGCTAGAAAGTGCCAAGAACATATGAGTAATTTGTTTCTGTCATTTGTTTTCCATGAACAACTGGAAATATCAAACTATGAATTGGTGTTCTTTATGCAATTGAATCAACGGCAGCGAGAAATATGGTCAGACATAACACTGTCCATGTGGTTGCAAAGGGTGAATGTGATATGTGAGTATCTCTAGTTTCAAATGGAGGCAGTAATAAAATGTTAAATTGTAAATAAAACATTTACCATTACGATGGGAACAAAATGGGTTGCAAGCCATAATAATAGAAATGATATAGGGGAAAAAGTGTGATCGAAGAAAATGAAGAGTTTTAAGACTGGTGTGGGGCAAAGTGTGGAGGGGAGAGTGACACTGGATTCAGTAAGTGAACATACTTCACAGGCTATATGTCATGGATGTGCTCAGAAATGAAGGGAAAATTTCATTTTATCTTGGCCACTGAAAGAGACATGCAAAGCAAAGAATATTTCCAGGTAAGTTTCGCTGCAAATCATTTCCACAAAGTTGTTTATAGATATGGGTAGAATGTGTTTACATATGAACTCATGAAATATTCTATAGAAAGAACAAATGGGTGGTATCAGCTGGATCTTCTATGTCAAGCTATGGAGTATATTTTGCTGAAAGACTGAGGAGAGGCATAATATGTTTAACCTAGGGGAAGATGTCTATCATAAGGTGCACAGACCTTGGGTGATGGAGGAGAAAAATGAATGTTGTAAATGGAAAGAATTCAAAAATATGAAAGAGGTGAAGATATTGAGAAGATAAGGTACAATATTGGGAAAGCTCCAGTTGCAGAATTTGAAGACCAGATGGATGAGGGAGGCAAGAGGATGCAGAACACATTCTTGGCCCATGGAACATGAATCTACTGAGGATCTATCATTAGCTAAAGGCAAACCATGAGTCAGAGAGATGGAGCTGTGCTCTATAAAATAAGCTTCTTAAAGCCTTAAAGCCCTGGGTAGGTGGTAATAATTTTATATGCATGGCCATTTAAAGCACACAAGAACATCTGTAGACTATGGCAACGATTTCAGTGATGCGTCTGCTGACTTTGATGTTACTGTGGATAGCTGAGACAGAAAGGCCCGGAAGTACATTCCAGTTTTAGGCAGAGATTTTGAGAAATTCTCTCTGGAGTGATAGATTTTTGTGATTAAAAAAAAAGTAGTTCCACACTAGCCTAGAGTGGAGTATAAAAAAGGTTTATTTATTTGGAGCAAACTCACAGAGAGAGTAGAGATCCACAGTTCTCTGGGTGTACAGGAAACTGGACCCAAATCCAGCAGACAAGGGGATCATGCATCTCCCTATGTCTTCATTTATAGTACAGGGGACCACACCCAAAGTGAGCTAGGATCCCAAAGGCCATTGACTGAAGGAGTTCCCACAGCACCTCTCCCTTTTGTCTAAATAAGAGGGTTCCAATCCTAATACAAATATACAATGAGAACAAATATCAAGTATGAGAATTAGAACTACAACCAGCATGAACAACATCAAGCAGAAACATATGCAAAATGTTTCCATAGTTATCCTATCTTAAGTAGTCTAAGTCTTATATTAGAAATGGTTTGGCTAAGTCATGAGAGGAAAGTAACTATAACTATCTAGTCTTTAACCTCATCAAGACCTGAGAAAGGAAATAATATTACTTGAGTAAACATGAAGTGCAATTAAGCAAGAAGTGACAGAGACAACTGGATGTACCTGGGCTATCACCCAATGTCTCATTTGCAATGTTGGGGCAACCAAGTTTGGCTGAGGCCTAGAATAACTGACAGACCATTTTCAGAGGCAGGAAAAATTTAAAAATTGTCTTATTCTGTCTTGGCAAGATTTGGCAGCCTTTTCGGTTGTATTCAGCTTGTCCAGTCTGGACACCATGTATTTTGTCAGTGGTGGAGGCAGGGGCAGTTTTGACCAAAGGTTAGTGCCAAGAAGAAAGAAAACTCCAAGTGAGTGTCTTCAGTGCCCAACATTCTCTTGGGAAAAGATCAGTGCTGCCTAAGTTATTTAAATGTGATATTCTACAGTTCTTTGAAGTGGTTGAATATTGCCTATCTATGCAGAATACAATCTCTATGCATCTAAAGAACCTGATTAGGCTAAATATAAGTATGACAAATATGGATGGCTAATGACCTATAATTCTTAATACCTATATAACTTAAAAGAGACTTTATATTAAAATATTAAAAAATCTTTAAACAAATGTGCAGGTCCTGGTAATGATGTGGACTCTGGCCACATTAGGTGACAACCGTTGTAATAAAAATTAGTGCCACACTAGCCCAAATGGAGTATATCAAAGGTTTATTTATTTGGGAACAAACTCACAAAAAGAGTAGAGATCCTCATTCTTCTGCATGCATGGAGAACTGAAGTCAAATCCAAAATCCAAGGGGCTTATGAAAGTCCCTACATCTTCATGTATAGTACAGGAGAGCATGCCCAAAGTGGGCTAGTGTCCCAAAGGCCATTGGCTGAAGGAGTTCCCACAACCATGTTTGTAGTGTGTTAGTCAAGGCAGTGACATCCACAGGAGAAATCACAGGTCACAATGGGCTAAACCAGATGATATATATGTACTTAACCATGGGTAATGATAATTATCAGGTTTTAATGGGTAGTAGAGACACCACTACAAATACCAAAGAAAGGAAAGTGACTGAGAAGCCAGGAGGCCAGGTGTCATCTCAATGTGGGTTTTTTTCAAGAGTTTCCCTTGTGGAAAATACCTGCTGTGGAGGTAAGAGGAACTCTGCTTCCAGCAATGTCAACGTCAACAGAGCACAGTGTCACAGGGGATAGAAAGCAAAGCACAGGCAGGTTCCGGGTGAGGGCTGCTTCATTCATCCACATGTTCAAAGGATGAGGAAGGTACAGATGTCCCCCTTGACCCAAGAATACAAGGTGAAAGATTCTAGGTGGGAAACCCAAAGTGAATGAAATACAAAATGGTATGGTAAGGACACAAGAGACAAGAGGCTTTCCTGATGTAAGTACACTCACTCTCTCCATTTCTGACAACAGAGAATCTTGAGACGACCAAGTTTAAAACTCAGGCTTTGGAGAGGTGAACAGTAATATGTTCTCAGAAGCTGGCAGACACACAATGATGGTTAGTCCCAATGAGACAATGGTGACTGAGTTTGTGCTGGAAGGGTTCTCAGAGCACCCTAGTCTGAGACTGTTTCTGATTGGCTGCTTCCTGACCCTCTACACAATGGCTCTGATAGGAAACACTGTGATCATTGTTTTGGTTACCTCCAGCACTGGGCTCCACAGTCCCATGTACTTTTTCCTGTGCAACCTGGCCACCATGGATATTATGTGCACCTCCTCTGTGCTGCCCAAGGCATTGCTTGGTCTTGTGTCTGAGAAAAACACCATTTCCTTTCATGGATGTATGACTCAGCTCTTCTTCCTTGTCTGGTCTGGATCCTCTGAGCTGCTGCTGCTCACGGTCATGGCATATGACCGCTACGTGGCCATCTGTCATCCTCTGCACTACAGCTCTAGAATGAGCCCACAGCTGTGTGGGGTCCTGGCCATGGCTGTGTGGTCCATCTGTGCTCTGAATTCATCCATCAATACTGGTCTGATGACACAGCTGTCATTCTGTGGCCCCAACATCATCACCCACTTCTTCTGTGAGATCCCCCCACTCCTCCTCCTCTCCTGCAGCTCCACATATGTGAATAGCATCATGACTCTTATAGCAGATGCCTTTTATGGAGGCATCAACTTCTTCCTTACCTTATTCTCCTATGGCTGCATCATTGCCAGCATTCTGCGCATGCGTTCTGCTGAGGGCAAGAGGAAGGCCTTTTCTACCTGCTCCTCCCACCTCATCGTGGTCTGTGTGTACTACTCATCTGTGTTCTGTGCCTACATCAGTCCTGCTTCCAGCTACAGCCCAGAAAGAAGCAAAGTGACTTCAGTGCTGTACTCGGTCCTCAGCCCAACCCTGAACCCCCTCATCTATACACTGAGGAACAAGGATGTCAAGCTGGCCCTGGGGAGGCTCCTGCCCTCTTTCTCACATTAAGTGGACATGTGAAGGCTGTTTTCCTGGCCTGGGCTGTTCCTAGACATGCTTTCCTGAGAGCAGCCTCATGGAGTGTGGTGAACCTAATGTTGTTTAGGAAACACATTCCGAGTTGCAGCAACTGGAATATACTACCTACTGCAACCTCAAAAACAACAAATAACATCTTGAATTTTGCAGGAAAATGGATGGACCTAGTAAACATTATTTTGAGTGAGGTAACCTAGACACAGAAAGACAATTATCACATGTACTCACTCACAGGTGGTTTTTAAACATAAAGCAAAGAAAACCAGTCTACAAACTACAATCCCAGAGAATTTAGACAACAATGAGGACAGTAAGAGAGACATACATAGATCTAATCTACATGGGAAATAGAAAAAGGCAAGATCTCCTGAGTGCATGGGGACCTTGGGGGAGGGTTGAAGGGGGAGGGGAGAGGCAGGGAGGAGAGCAGAGAAAAATGTAGAGCTCAATAAAATTCAATAAATAAAAGAAAACAAAAAAAACCAGCAAATGTCTTAGAGATAATGTAAATAAAACACTCAAGATTTATTTCCTGATAAATACAAACCATTTCAAAAGTAAAGTTTATCTAAATATGGGTGGCCACATTCCACTTCCTGGAAGGTTTTCAGTGGCTCACAGTGGTAATAGAAAAAAAAAAAAAAAAGAGCCCTTTTATCCTTTCATCCAATGTCACCCTCTAAATATCACAGGAATTTGTTTTAAAACTTTTGCTAGCTGGGCAGTGGTGATGCACGCCATCAATACTATCACTCAGGCGGCAGAGGCAGGTGGATCTCTGTGCGTTCAAGGCCAGCCTGGTCTACAAAACTAGTTCTAGGACAGCTAAGGCTGTTGCACCGAGAAACCCTGTTCGAAAATCCCAAAGAAAAGTAAAAAAAAAAAAAAAAAAAAACAATCAAACAAACAAAAAAAACCTAAACTATGGCTAATGGATCTAAACTTCATAAGGATACTTGAGGGGCCAGCATGCTATAGTGTCTTGGGAAGACACAAGTAACTTTCATAGATTCCTACTGAGCTGTGGAAGTCAAAACTGGTGGCATTGGCATGAAGGGGAAGGCAATTAGAGGAGCATAGATGAAGTTTAAGTTTCAAAACTGAACTCACATAAGTGACTCCAGATTACTTATGACAATGGTGACACTCAGACTCATGAGAAAGATTAATATTTCCAACAGTTTTGAAGAAACTAGATAAATATTTACACACAAAAGTGGAACTCTTCCTTCACATTATGAATGAAAATCAACAAAAAAAATGAATCCTATATAAAAATGCAATGGCTACACCTTTTTTCTACAGCATATTTTAATCATATTTCTTTCTCCCTCATCATTTTATTTATTTATTTATTAAAGATTTCTGCCTCCTCCCCGCCACCGCCTCCCATTTTCCTTCCCCTCCCCCAGTCAACTCCCCCTCCCTCATCATCTCGAAGAGCAGTCAGGGTTCCCTGCCCTGTGGGAAGTCCAAGGACCTCCCACCTTCTTCCAGGTCTAGTAAGGTGAGGATCCAAACTGCCTAGGCTCCCACAAAGCCAGTACATGCAGTAGGATCAAAACCCAGTGCCATTGTTCTTGAATTCTCAGCAGTCCTCATTGTCCACTTTGTTCAACGAGTCCGGTTTTGTCCCATGTTTTTTCAGACCCAGGCCAGCTGGCCTTGGTGAGTTCCCGATAGAACATCCCCATTGTCTCAGTGTTTGGGTGCACCCCTCGCGGTCCTGAGTTCCTTGCTCGTGCTCTTTCTCCTTCTGCTCCTGATTTTCTCCCTCATCATTTATACCTACTTAACTACCCAACTCAGGCTCTCAATCTCTCTCTCACTCTGTGTGTGTGTGTGTGTGTGTGTGTGTGTCTGTATTTGTGTTCAAAAAGCAAAACAAATCCAAGACAATATGACAAAAAGTACCAAAGCAAAACAAAAAGCAAATACAAAAAGTGGTCCTTTTGATGTTCATTTACTACTCCTAGCCAAAACACTCTGAGAACTGGAATGAGGAGGCATAGGAAAGACTGAGAAGGGGAAGTGCATGTGCGGCCACTCTAAGACACTGATAGGAAGACAGCGGAGTGGAGAAAGGGCAGCATCTGATGCTGCTGAAATGATGCCGTATCCTTTTCAGATTAAACATATTCTTCATCAACTTACTTCCTTATTCTTAAATGCTGTATCACACCAGGATTTGTGATGCTAATCAGGCATACTGTACCAGTTAGCTCTTCAACTTTGTGAGAAAATTACCTTTTCAAAACATTTGTTCTGTCTCATGGTTTCAGAGTACTCATTCCATGGGCATGTGGTGGTTTGTGTCAGCCTATTGTGATGTAGGTGGTTCTTCTATCTATCTGTTGGTTTCATTGGTTAATTAATAAAGAAAACTGCTTGGCCTGATAGGGCAGAACTTAGATAGGCAGAGTAGACAGACCAGAATGCTGGGAAGAAGAAGACAGTGAGAAAATACATCATAGCTCTCCTCTCTGAGATGGATGCAGGTTAGAATATTCCCGGGAAGCCACCACCTCATGGTGCTACACAGATTGTTAGAGATGGGTTAATCAAGATGTGAGAGTTGGCCAAAAAGAGGCTAGATATAATGGGCCAGGCAGTGTTTAAATGAATACAGTTTCCGTGTAATTATTTTGGGTAAAGCTAGCCGTGCTGGAGCTGGGTGGCAGGAAGCGGCCACAGCTCCTTCTACACTATTGTAAGGCAGGGCTTCCTGGCAGTAGGCATATGTGGTGAAGAACTTCTTCCCAACATGGTGGCTCAGCACACATCTTAGAGGAACACCTGTGCTCAACTGACTTTCTCCTTTTCCCTTTAGCCCAGGTTTTCTAGTCCCCAATCCCTGGGATAGTAGTACCCACATGGAGAGTGGATCCCCTGTTTTAGTGAATTGAAACACTCTCACTTTCTAGTCCTCAGTCCCTGGGATGCTGCTGCCCACATGGAGAGGAGATACTCTGCTTCAGGGAATCCTTCCTGAAAACACTCCCATCTGCATAAACGGAAGTGTCCCTCAGAGACACATACCTCCTCCATTATCAGGTTACCCCTATAGATCCACCCAGGATCAGGTTTTAATCCTCTGCACTGTTAATCATACCATGCCTCCTACCTGACCATGAAGAACAACCAGTCTACTGCTGTGCCCAGGTCTTTGACCACCATAAGGATGACTGGATCTCTGAGACCAGCCCCTCAGAAAGAGAGATGTGACCCTATTCACCAATGGAAGCAGTTATGCACGGCACAGGATCAAGTATGCCGGAGCAATTGTGGTGATGTGGGAATCCCCTCTGTGTGCTGTGATTACCATTAATGAATAAAGAAACTGCTTTGGCCTGTTGATAGGACAGAACTTAGGTAGGCAGAGAAGACAGAACTGAATGCTGGGAGGAAGAAGGACAGAGTCAGGGATGCCATGGAGCAGCCGCCACCAGAGATAGATGTGCTGAAACTTTGCTGGTAGGCCACGACTTCTTGGTGATGCACAGATTAATGAAGATGGGTTAAATAAAATGTAAGAGTTAGCCAATAAGAAGCTAGAGCTAATGGACCAAGCAGTGATTTAATGAATACAGTTTCTATGTGGTTACTTCAGGTGTAAGCTAGCCAGGCAGCTGGGAAGAACAAGCGTCCCCCTCCACGCAACACTGTGGTGACACTGAGATAATCTGAGCTCAGTCTCAGTCTCAAGGGACACAGGCCCAAAATGCCACACTGATAGCCTTAAACCAGGAACTAAGACGGGGATATAGGCATTCAGTCAACATCTATACTGATAGCCACTGCAACAGTCCTTGGTGCTTTAACAAGAATCAGGGCCTGTAGACCTCCATGGGAAAGAAGATCAAAAACAAAGAGGAGGTCTCTGCCCTAGGAACAACTCTTTGGCTGTCAAAGAAGCTTGCTATTGTCTATTGCCCAGGAATTCAAAAGGAGAATTCGGTTGAACCCTGAGGAAACAGACTCATTGCCACAGTCATAAAATAAGCAGCCACAGAGCCAGTGGGGCTTTTGCTAATAATGTTAGGGCTTCCCTCAATTCTCACCTTTCTGCCTGAACCAGACCAGCTAGAGCATCCTATATACCCTAGTGAGGAATAAAATTTGGCCAGACAGCAGGACACAAAGACAGAGGACTGGTGGGTTATTCCAGACAGACACCCCATCCAACAGAAGTCTTGGGGACATCTCTTCTCTCTCATATTCATCAAAGTACACACCTGGAATTAGCCAAGTTGAAATAATTAATCATAAACAAGCACTTTCTCCATCACCAGAGGAAAGTGTTGAACAAGGTACCCGCTGCCATCTATGCCCAAGTGAACCCAAGAGAAAGAAAATCAGCACCCCTCAGTGATCAGTAAAGGGGACTCAGTCCCAGCAAACACTGGGAACCTCATTGAAGTTATTCCATCAAGGTTTGGCTACCAATATTTTCTAGAGTTTGAAGATGCTTTTTCAAAATGAGTAGAATTTTTCTCACTAGGTCAGAAATAACCAATGTACTTACTAAAATGTTATTGATAGAGATCATTCCCTGGTTCAGGCTTCCCTCCATCTGAGTCTTGACAATGGCTCAGCCTTTACAGCCAAGGTCTGTGTCAGCAAGTGTTCCTAAAATTCTATGAATACTTTGGAAATCCCACTGTGTCTCTAGGACCCAAAGTTCAGGACAGGGAGAAAGAGCTAACAAGGCTACTAAAGAAACATTAATTAAATTCCATGTACAAACTGACAAGGGATGGACTGGTTTGCTCCTGGTGGTTCTCTTTAGGATCAGGTACTCCTTCCATTAGGACAAGCTATCACCATTTAAAATAAAGTTTTCTTGCCCACCTCCACTTATTCCAGCAAAGGGAAGACCGCAGTCTATTGCAACATCTAGTTATTCCTTCCTCAAGCCCTTACAGGCATTTCAGCAGAAATGTGCCTACAGGAAATGTAACCCCTTTACT